ATCCTTCACCAGCCTCCGGCCCGCCGCTCTCGAAACCGGCCCAACAGGTTTGGGCTACCTGGGCATCCGCCCGGAGCGCTGCAGGTAGGGGCGGGGCGGGGGGTGTTCGGCCCCGCCCTCAGCCGTCTTGGGTGGGAGCCTGCGTCCCTTCTCCGGTCCCCAGATGCTCTGGGAGGGCTGCCTCCGAGCTGGGTGGAGGAAGCACCTTAGCACCTCTGGATTATCTAGGGTGGCCCAGTGTCAACTGGTATATTCCGTGTTCAGACTCAACACTCAAATCTGGGGCCTTGGAAAAGAGCCCCCCTTGAAGTCTGGCCCAAGTGTGGCAGGACCAGCCCCCGCAGAGGCCCCAGAACCAGGCTCCTCTCCCAGCTTCCTCTGCGGCCTGCTCTGTCCCCTCGGGTCATGCGTGTGCCCACTGCCAGTCCAATCTGGAGCAGAGGCCTCCAGAGCGGTTCTCTGAGGGGCCACAGTCCTTTGTTGGGGGCGGGGGGAGGTGAGTCCCAGCAAGTAGCGTCCTTTGGCCTAGCAGTGGCCCATCCAGTTGTCAGCTGAAGAACTATCAGGAATATGCCCAGAGATGTGTCTGCACAGGCCTCTGTTTTGTCAGTGGCTGTAAGCCCAGAGCCCAGAGGGTGCCTGTAGCCGAACAGGTCATGGGGAAATATTGCTAAATGGATGGAGGGTGTTCCTGGCAGCATTATTCATGATGCCGGAAACAGTTCCCATGGCACCACCACGAAGGAATTGGTAAAATGAGCGTTTTACACAACACACTGAGCAGTCATTAAAGAAAAATGATGTAGACATGGCTCTTTTGACCCGAAAGATACAGTCACAGTGCATTAGCAGGTGTGAATAGCTGATTACAAAATAGTACATGGGGTGAAGGCATAAACTGATCGTCTCCAGGTGGAATCACGGGCAATTTTTAATTCTCTTCTCATCTGTACTTCCGAATTTGTGCTCAACAAGCATGCATTACCTGCGTTCAGAGAAGTATTAGAAGTTTGTGAGTTTCCATAGCAGCCCCCATGGGAGCCCTGGAGGGAGAGGCTGGGTCTGTCCCTGCAACCCCCCAGCTCGGCCCTGGATTGCAAGGTGAGTGAGGGGCATAGGGGGTTGGGGCTGCTCATGGGGTCAGCAGTAGAGAAATGACTTCAGTCTGAACCAGAGTCCCCACTCTTCCCACTGCTGCCCCCGCAGTTTTCTCAGAGCGGGGGGTGGGGTGGGCGGCAAGAGTACCTAGTTGTAGAAGGAATAGCCCAGTTAATAACGGGGTGCAGACAGGAAACAGAATCTCATCAAAGGGTGACTCAGAGATGAGGATCAGGGCTGCAGCAGTGGAGGGGGGCTCCTCAGATCCAGGTGGAGGTTCCTGGGCCAGCACTGCTCCCTGGAGCCCAACTCTAGTTGTGGAGGGAGGCCCCTGACCACTCCACCCCAAGACTGCCAGAAAGCTAAACACAGGCTGGGCCCATCCCTCACCCTTCTGCTCTGACTCACCTGAGCTCCGCACCTGCTCTGGGGACACCTGGCCCCCTGGAGGCTACCCACCTGCTCCTCCTTCTCTCTCCTCCAATGTGAGCTGTTGAAAGGAATTACTCCTCTGGCCATCACTTTCTAACTTTAGTCCTGCCACCCGCAGGGTGGAAATGGCCTTTCCCAGCTTGATGTAACCCACCTACGGTGCAATTAATAACTGCCATTTATGCTTTTTTGTATTTTCTGACTTGGGTGCATTTGTTGGCAGGAAAGTTGAGGTCCCAGCTTCCTGGGGGAGGATTAAAAACGCTTGAAACTTCGAGAAATAAACAGCCTAAGGCCCCCAGGTCCTGTCTCCCCACCACCCGCAACTATTGTAACTAAGCCAATCAGTTTCTAGTGCTCTTGTTTTCATGTGTCCGTAAGGGAAGCACCATACTTTGAACATAAGAGTTCACCTAAGAAAAAACAAAACATACCAAGCCTCCTTCTCAGCCTAAGCAGGAGGGTTGATGAAAATACTGAATCTGCCTATTTGATGGGTGGGCAAAATGAAGGGATTTTCCTTAGTCAGTAGCTAAGCCCGGAGTCTCCTTCCTGAGCTGGATCCTGGTGGAACAATCTATCATCAGACTGTCTGGTTGGCCCCAGCCTCCTCCCCTCCCCCAGCCCACCTGGGAGAGCGAGTGGAGCACCAGAGTCAGCCCTGGGTGCTGGGCAGAGGAGGCGATGAAATTGCTGTTGTGACTGAATTCCTTGGAGGGGCAGACCAAGCGGGCTGTGTGGGGGCTGGGCCAGCCCAGACGCTGCTGCAGCAGCCTCTCAGGGCGTGGGGCTGGCAGGCAGCAGGGCTGGTGGGCTTCTAGAAGTAGGGGAGGGGGGTCCAAGGGTGGTCCTGTCCAGCCCCCTCCTTTTATTCACATCTTTCTGGGCACACCTGCACGTCCCTTCCTCCTGCTATCTTCAGGACCCTCTGTCATCCATCTTTGGTTGATCTGGGGTAAGCTGGTCCTTGTTACCTTGGGAACACTTCCTGGGGCCAGTTTCCTACCCCTGACTCACATCCTCAGAAGTTTGACGGTCCCTAAGCCCCACAGCTCTGAGATCGGAAAGGGGAGTGTGGAGCCGGGGAGACCTGGATGAGGGGCGGGACTCTGCCCTGATTTATTAAGCAGTAGGGCCCAAGGACACCAGGTGTGGCCCTCTAGCTCCCTTGTGCCACCTCCCTGGATAGATACCCAGGTAGGGATACTCAGTAGTTCTCAAGGAAGCAGCAGGGCGAGGGCTGGTTCCTCTTTCTTCTGGCCTTAGGTGTTCACGCTGTGTCTTGAGAACAGGTTGTAAATCAACCCGAGGGGTCAGATCACTGAGGCCAGAGCACAGCATTGCCTTAGTCAACACTCTTTTGATGGCAAGAATCAGAGATCCACTTAGGCGCTGAAGGATTTTAAAAGTGAGCATTTATAATAGGGATACAGGGCATAAGCCTGAGCAGGGGAGGTGGCTGGGGGTGGGGAGCTCAGGGGCTGGAGCCGGAAACCCACTGAGTGCCCACCGCCCACCGCTCTGTCTCAGACCATCTCTCTGGGCCAAGGCTTCTCCCCACTGCACACTGGCCAGCATCCTCTGCAGACTGGCCTCTCTGCGTCCAACAGGGCAGAGAGGGCTGCCTGCTGGTCTGAGTCTACGTGTTCTTCCAGGTCTACTGGTGCCAGAGCCCACAGAACCACAAGCCACATCCTGAATCCTAGCAGGAAGAAATGATGATGCCAACCTGAGACAGTGTCTCCCAGGCCACCGTAGCCTAGCCCATGGCGACAGCCTTGTGTGGTCCAGGCACGGCTGCTTGGTCCACCGTGGTGGGTGGTGGGTATGTGGGGACAGTCCTCTGAGCAGGAGGTAACATCCAAAAGATACTGGTTATAATCGTGGGAGCAGGACTCTGGTTCCAAAAAGCCACCGAAGTATATCATTCTGAAAAGCTTTGGGTTGAGAATTTAGTGAGAGGAGAAGGGATAACTTTGTTGGACTGTTCTGGAGAATTTCCACCATCATTAATCCTGAGCCTGAAAACCATCCTGATATCTTGTCCCTCAATCCTGCATCCAGCCACTCAGCTGTATCCTGCCAGTGCCAGCACCTGAGCATCTCCCTAGAATGGACCTTGGGAAATGCAGATCGGGCCATGTGACTCCTTGGTTCGAACCTCCGATGCCTCCTGCACCAGCCTCAGGATAGAAATGAATTCCTTTGCTTGTCTCACCAGGCCCTTGGCCACTGGAGGCCCCTCAGTGCTACTGGCAATTTCCTTCAATGCTCTGCCCTTTCTGTGACACCCCCTTTTGTCCTGTCCCCGCCCCACGAGCCACTCTTCTTTACTCCCGTCCCCCTCTTTCACCCCATTTCTGTGCCTCCCAAAGAAGGCTCAGTAGTGAAAGTATTTTAAGATCAAACTATATGGTACTGAAGAAAACATAAATGTCCTTAAATTGTATCAAAATAGAATCTTGTGCTCGTCAGACCTAAGCCACATCATTTCCATCTTCCTTTTACCCCTTCACTCATGTCTGGCTGCTGGTGCTCAGCTGTGGGACAGCACCCATGTGCTGGTACGGCAGCTCCAGGGAAAACCCTCAAGGTGCAGGGGAGCTGCAGGTCCTGCACTGGGGCCCAGCCTACTAGCTGCACCCCCGGGACTGGACACACCAGCAGGGACTTCTTGCCTTGGGGCAAAGGAGGACTATGTCGTGGCCCCTGCTCACCTTGTTGCTGGTCACCACCTGATATTTGGGGAGCTGGCCCTTCTTCGTCCCTGACTCATCACTAAAGGAATTATGTAAGGATCTCTGACTAATGGCCAGGGGGTAAAGGAAAGTGACTGCTGCAGAGGAAGGAAAAGACTTCAAATTGAAGTGTCAGTCATCACAGTCCTAGCAACCTGCTCCTGGCAATCTCGCCAGCGGGAGTTTCTCCTGGGCTCCGTCTGCCCTCAGGCCCTTCCTCCCACCTGTTGTCTGGTCTTCCTCCTGTCTCAGGTCCTGGTATGGAAAACCCCAGCTTGTAACCTGATGGTACTGTGGTCGAGGGATTCTGTTTGAGACTGGGATTTGGGCGCCCTCTGTGTGCACAGCAGGTGACGTTTCAAGGACACATCACACTCAGAAAGGACACCGTTGGATTCCAGCCCCTCACTTCAGACTCATTAACCTCTAAGAACTTCAGTCTCCTTAAATGCAAAAGGGAGGTTCGGTCTTGCTGGCCCCTGAGGTTGACCCCTCATCCCCACAGTGACAGCTGATTTCCCCTGACGCGGCAGGGTGAGTTCTGCCCAGAGAGCATTGTTCCTGCAGATGAGGCAGGCCTGGGACAAGGGAGGCAAGGGCCACGGAGTCAGGGTCAGGGTCTTCCTGGCCCAGAGGGAGGGAGGCTGAAAACCCAAGGGCCTGAGAATATCCGGGCTTTGAGGGAG